GTTCTCAGCTCTGAGGCTCTTGCTCAATTGCCCAGGCTGGGCACAGCCTCAAGTGCCACCTGCCTCAGTTTCCCAATATGGGGATTCCACAGATGCACCACCTCACCCTGTGCAGTCCGAGCGTCTTTAGGTTGATGTCCTTTGGGAAGTTTTCGTCTGGTCTCCCTGCCATCACTCCTAAAGGCAGCAGATGGTTTTGGAATGAGTGGTCAGAGAAGTCAAAACAACAAGCCCTTTATGGAAAATTGGTTCACACTGCGGCCTGGGCAGGAAAGACAGGGTGTGTTGGAAACATCTCCCTCTATCAGAAAGTGAGAAAGTGCTGGAAATCCATGGGAACACAGGCTACTCTTTGAAGGGCTCACATCGCTCAACTTTGGGTTCATTTGAGCACCAAAATAAATGACAGCCGTTTTGTATTCCAATTCACTGATTCGTCAAAAAGTTTGGCGTCTACTTATAATTCCAGCACTCTGGAGGCAGAGGCAGGAGGACTGCCATGAGTTCAAGGCCAGGCTGGTCTATACACGGAGTCTGAGTTCAGTCTATACTACACAGTGAGACCCTGTCTCAAAAAAATGATCAATAATTCTATCTTCAGGGTTCCCAAGTGCAGCCTTCGGGCACACACAGGGTACACATCAGGGTGGCAACAAAAGGTTGCTCCAGGCAGCGGCCCTGTCGGGAGGCACCTGTTCCCAGCAAGGTGACCCGGCAGGCTGCAGACAGACTTACAGGGGAGAGGCTGCCACGTGTGCGGCACAGGCAAATGAGCTGTCTCAATTTCCTAAGTGGGAGAGGGGACGGTAGCCAGGGCCTTCACACTGAGCTACACTACACACCAGCTTTCTCATTTTGAGACAGAACGTCAATAAATCACTAACTCACCCAGGCTGGGCTTGAACTTGTGATCCTCTACCCAGCCTCCCAGTGTGTGCCAGTACGCCAGCTGAGCACTGCCATCCTTTATCAAGTTCTAGCACGTGGGAACAGAAAACTGAGTTCATTCATACTTCAAGTTAGTATGTACAAACAGTACGTCTGTACCCAACACACACACACACACACACACACCACTTCCCAATTCTGCCCTCAAAGAATAAGCACTAAGACCTCCTCTGACAGCACAGGGCGGTAGTAGCTGGCACACCAGCCACAGGCAGCTCCGACAAGAGAACAAGGCAGGGCCAGGAGCACAGGTGACATGCACCCCCAGCTCACATCCGTGAATGCCAGCAGCACCAGGGCTGTCTCCGAGGCCAAAGCTCTGGGACCTCAGAAGCCCTGCATCCACTCGCCTTTCCCAGAGAGCCTGGCTATCTATCTGCAGTCTGGGGAAGCCTGTCGTTGGCTCTCCAAGTCTGGAAGTGGGCGATCGCCACTGAACTGGGCTGGTTCTGGCTTCAGGCCCGGCATACAGTGTGAATTACGGTTTTACCTGAGTACCGCAGCTCTTCTGGGACACAAGAGGACAAGGCCCAGCTTCCCAGGAGGGGCGGCGTCACACTGGGTTAGTAAGGAACAGAGTCCAGGGGGCTCAGATAGGAGGGAGCCCTGGTTCCCAACCCACGGTCCTGACAGAGGTGCTGACAGAAGCTCGGGCTGGAATTGCTGTGCGCCCTGTGCCACAGGGGTGGTAACAGGACACCTGTCATGGCCCCCAAAATAATAGGAAGGTGGTCTGCTCAGGAGGCTAGGCTAGGGCTGGCTGCGACCTGAAAACCTCGTCTGCAGCTGAGACGAAGAGGGACGTGGCACCATCAGAACTGAGAGGACTCCAAGTCCGGGATGAACAGGTCTGGACAGAAGGCTGAGAGGGAGGTGGGCAGGCCCAGGAGGTGATGGCTGGGGGCGGGTATGTGGTCACAGCATGTGACATGTGGGGCCTCAGGCCAGGTGGTGGCCAAGGAATGCCCGCCACAGGAGGACTGGAGAGACGGTGGGAGGCAGCCAGCAATACGGGAGGATAGGCTGGCGAGGCTGCTGCTCACAGCACGCTGTGCCGAGCAGGCAAAGGCGTGTGGAGATCACAGCCTCCCAGACAGGTTAAGGACCTCGGATGAGGGGTGGGCACAAAGCCATCCCAGGTCCTAAAAGAGAGCAGGACTGCAGGCAATGATGGGCTAACCCGAGGCTGGGCTGGGGATGCAGGTGCCTCTAGAAGCTGGAAGAGGAAAGGAATCAGCGTCCCCCGGCCACCAGAAGCAACCCCTGTCAGAGGGCGCTCCACATTGGCAATTGGACAGGTGTGACAGGATGCTCGCCTGGAGGGTCTGCTTTCTGTGAGGAGACAGGTGGGCACATCTGTCAACAGAACCCGGGATGGACTCATACGTGGGAGCAGGTGGCATACAGGACAGAACAGGCTGCCACCACCACCGACCGTCAGGAAAGCCCCAGGCCCCCACCCCAGAACTGCCAGGAAAAGTGCTGTTCAAGCAGCCTCAC